TGACATATCTAGGACATTTTTGAAAACTATAGTATTATCAACATTGTAGGTATATGTTAAGTGCTAAGAAGGTTGAACTTCCTCATTTCAGGGATAGCATAGGTCATAAATCTTCCTAGATAACAAAAAGTAAGATTTTTTGGGATACGTATGCTCATTTTTGCTGTCTTTCTCCCATCACAGATTATTGAAATATGTGGTAACAAAAGATGCAACTCTAGTTTCATGTAATCTGGTAACAGATTTTCTCTTGACTTAGGTGGGATGGTTTCTATGACACATATAATGAATTAATTTAATATATAATAAATTACAAACCTTCTACTGCAGCTGCTTCAGGTACATTAAAATATAACCACAATACACTTTCTGTTTCTTGGACTTAGATTAGTTTTAGATGCATTCTGAAATCTTGAAATGTAACTGCTATTTTTCCCACTGTAGCAGCAGATGTCTGTCAGACTGTCATGGTTTGAGCCTGGTCGGCAGCCAACTACCACGCAGCCACTCTCTCTCCCTTTTCTTCCAGAAATAAGAAGGGACAGAGAGCCAGGCTTGGGGTTCAAGATAGGACTGGGATGGGGAAAAATCCCCCTTTATTGTCACGAACAAAAGGCAGACTCACTAGGGGAAGAAAAAAAAAAGAACATACATTTATTACAGACACTAACAACACTTAACAGAGTAGGACAGTGAGAAGCATTGTCACATCCTGAGAACACCTTCCCCCCACCCCTCCCGTCTTCCCGGGATCAGCTCTGCTCCCGATATCTCTACCTCCTTCCAGCAGCACCGGGGCAGGGAATGGGGGGGTGCAGTCAGTGCTGCTGCTTCTTCCATCTTCTGTGGGGGGAACTTCTGGAACCTCTCCCCCTGCTCCATCATTGTCCCCCTCTCACAGGAGACAGTCGTCCACAAACTTTCTCCGACGTGAGTTCCTCCCATGGGCCGCAGTGTTCCCCACACTGCTCCGTCGTGGGTCACTAAATTCCTCTGACTGGATTCTCTCCCATGGCTGCAGCCCTTCCCAAGCTGCTCCGGCGTGGGACACGCCCGCATGCTGCAATTCTCCCAGTGCTGAATTACAACACCGGGGCCTACCTTTTCCCACAAGACCTTGGCATTCTTTGGGCACAGCACTTTGATCAGCCAAGTAAAAAAAAAACACAGGCCACATATCAATATCTGCTCCACCGCAGATCTTCATGGGTGGCAGGGGGGGCTGCCCTGCCGTCTCACCACAGGATACAGGGGGGTCTCTGCTCTGGCACACCTCCCCCCTCCTTTCTTCCTCTGTTCCTCCACTGACCTTGGTGTTCACGCAGCTGCCACAACACCTCCTCACAAGTTCCACTGCTCCTCACCACATCCCTTCTTAAATACATTACCGCAGAGGCGCAGCTGATGGGCTCAGATTCCAAACAGAAGTGGAGCTGACTTGGAGCTGGGGCAGCTTCGAGAAGCTTCTCACAGGGGGCCGCCCCTATAGCCCCCTCCCCTGCCACCAAAAAAAACCCACCACTCACTCAACGCAGGAAAGACATTTCGCAGCTTCCTGCATCTGTAGTCCTGAGTAAACAGCCTTGGTCTCTGATGCAATTTCTGGGGAAGATCAGTTGCCTTGAAGCAGAAGAAACAAAGGCCAGTCCCTTTACCCAAAGAACAATCTGTAAACAGAGGAAAACCCTAAACAAAGTTAAGAAACAGGTTAGATCAGGTTAACAAATAGATACACAAGCAAACTGGACACCTGTAAATCCATGGGCCTGGCAGGATGCACCCATAAGGGCTGAGAGAATTGGCTGATGTAATTTCATGGCACTTTCAATAAGCTTTGAATGATCAGGATGAATGGAAGAGGTTCTTAATAAGTCAAGGCTCAAGTTCTGAGATGCCTAAAAATGCCTATATTGGCTTATCCAGTATGGTTTATTAATATACTTAACAATACATGAGGTCTTGTTCATGTTATTCTGGATGGGGGTTTCTTATGTAAGCTTATAGTTTAGCTAGTCTGGAATGGGATATCTAATTTTAACTTGTTGCTGAAGATCCTAAGATCCTGAAAGTAAGTGTGGATTTCATAAAGCCATGCAAATTTATACCATTTAAGATGATAGTCCATTGGCACTAAACCCCTGCTTTCCTCATGTTTCTATATCCTGCTGAGTGAAGGTTAACTTGTCATTGTCTGGATCATTAACTTTTTTGAGAGAGATTTTTGGATGCTCTCATACATAAATTTACATGGCAAGATGAACTTCTTCTCTCCATAGCTAGACATTTCAGAATCTCCCAAGGATAGCATTTGGGACTCAGCATTTTGATTAGCAGATATTTTTTTCAGAATGTACTTTCTAAATGGCCCTGGAATACTATTACTGAGGTAGATGGATGATGGATGCATGAGATAAATAGAGAAGGAAAAGTTCTCTTTGTTTTCTTCTTGAAAAGGTTCACATTCCCCAAAGACAAATTTGTTCAACATACGTGGAATGACTATTTGATAAGATGTCTAACAGCCTACAACTAACTTCCTTTTTTTTTAGTAATTTTTGAAAGACAAGTGTAATGAATAAAAGAATAAAGTCCTACCACAGCTATTTTGTTTGTATTCAAATAATATTACAGAAACTCAATGCAGCTGCATACTGTCATAAATTTTCCACTGGTAACCAGCATTTCACCTACTTTATCCTACCATTGTCTGCTGTCTTGTAAACTGTAACAGCACTATGCATCTGCATCCACACACACCAGCTTTTTGACAACAATTAAAATTGGCATGTAGAAGCATTTTGAGATGAAATCTTATAATTGACAGACTGAGACACTAGCCAAAGGGGTATACGTTTGGGTAATCCCTGGGCTGAAACACTGCTGGTCTGTCAGCCTCTGAAATTATTGGCAATCTCATAACCCATATCTAGCAGCTGAGAGGAAGCTGTGCCAACCAGTGGCAGGCTTCAATAGGTTTAGAAAAGCCGTCAGTGTAATTGTCATCTTTAACACTGAAAAGTGCTCAGATGCCATTGTGATAAGTGTGATAGAAACTGTAAATAGAAAAGAGCCAGCAGAGTCTTGGAAAAGTCATTCTGAGCTTACCATCCCCCACTGCTTTGAACTGCCTGCAAACAGAAGGTTTAAAACAACAGACAAGTAACACATCCCATCAAGTCCAAAGCATTATGAGAATGACCTTGGTGAATTGCTCTGATTCCCTGTGCTACACCGCATCGTGTAACAGGGAGGAGGCCAAGAGGTGGCAGAAGTTCGCTGGATCAGATGGCTACAGGATGGGACTGTCTCCCTGTTCCTGACACTGGAAGAGCCAAGAAGCAAAACATGCAGATAAACACTTACTGCAGTGTTTTGAGCTGTTGGTATTGCTCTTTATTCTGGGGAGGACAAAATATCCTTCATATTCTCAATGTTTTAGGTACTTCAGTACAAAGTCCTTCAAACCAGCACAGAAATATTAAAGCTGTTCAAGACGTGCTGCATAGTGTGAGGCTGATAAGATTTTTTAGGGTGTTATTTTTTAACAACAATCAAACCAACCAACCCAACACCTCTGTGGCTTTTTCATTGTACTAAGATGGTTACATGTTGATAGATGGAAAATAATTACTTAACCATCACCCAAAAGCCTGTAAGCTAGGGTAGGATATTAGAAAAAGTCTGGATAAATATGAACTCATTTCATTGTCCAGTGATATAGTACTAAATAGAATAAAGAGAAAAGAGAACTGTGGGAAAGGTTTTCTGTAGCAAAGTATCTGGAAGTTGTCTTTGTGTATTAACTATGTATTTAAAACAGCCAAATTGGAAACACAGCAAGAGGACTAATTCTGAGTTGTTGATAAAGTAATTGCTTTCCTGCTATTTCCAAATAATAAAACACACACACACACACTTGTACACACACAGAGGAACATCATTATCTGTCAAACAGATTATGCATAATGCTTGTCAGTTTTGCTTGCTCTAGTGCTTTACATGCAGCGAGGCAAACAGTCACATTACATGGAATGTCGTTATAGGTAAAACATCATTACTATTTGCTTGGTTTATAGTGTGGGGATTTTTTCAAGCTAAGGGATGAGATTTCATTTACCATGTATACCATAATAGTCAGCACAAATGTGCTAAATGCAATTGAGGTTTTTTTTTTTTAGCATTTTTGAAGTGGCACCTACAACTCACTGAAAATAAAAATTCAGGGCAATTTTATATGTATCCTTCTCATTGTGCTTTTCAACTAAGGATTATGGGCCCATATCAGTAAAGATAAATAGGCACTTGCTTTGACACCATTGGCCTGTATGTACCCAGTCCCCATTCAAATATTGCACATCTGTTGCAAACCTAACTTTGGAAAGCATTTGAGTCTCCTGCATGACATTTGCCTAGGTACCTGCCACTCTGCTTCCAGGCAAGCTTGGCATTTGTATCTCAGGCTCAGGAAGGGGTTTGTTCTTACAGTGGGTCCACTCACATCTGCTGAATCTGGCTCTACCCAAACTGCAGCAGGAGCTAATATTTCCTTTTACAGAGACCTGTTAGGCCTGTTCAAAGAGCTGTGGTTTAATGGAAGAGGCCAGTTTTTAAAGACTGTTCAGCCCAACTGGGAACCAAGCTGTGCCGAATTTGTTGCTCAGGCAGTTCAAATAGCCTCTATAAAAGTGTCATAAACATCAAGGCAAAGGGACCTAAATGGCAGGAGGAAGAGTCCTCAGAAGGAAATTAGGTGTTTCCATGAAGTGATGTTAGAGATTCCTTGGAGCAGAATGAGAACAAGGCAAGGGTGATCCCCCCACCTGAAGGTGAGACTCCTCTGTCTGAGGCACCACAGGGCTGTGTTTGTGAAGACCCTGATCTGCCATGCATCATGTCAACGCCTTGCTCCCCACTCCCTTGTGTGAGAGCCTGCTGGCGTGCTGGCGCAGTTCAGGAGACCACACAGCTTGACAATCTGGCCGTGAGTTGGGTCTGGCAAGCATCATCTTTGCATAAGTCCAACCAGCGTTAGAGCCTAGAGGAGGATCCCTCAAGTGTTAAATCTGCACACGGTCTTTGCATATACTTGTTTTGAAGCAGCAGAATATGCTGAAGTGATCCTCAGATCAGAAGCTGGGCTTTTCCTTTCCTATCCTGCAAATTAGGGGGGGAAACTGAGACAGTGATGTTTATTATTTAAGAAAAATAACAAAGAAGAGCACATTTTTTTATTAGATTCCTGTACAGGATTCTATCTTCATTAAAATACCTAATAAATTACTTACAAATTCTCATTGCTAAAATACATTAAAAAAAAATATAAAGTGTACCTTTTTAGAGTATATTCTGCTCCACTAAGAGAAGGATGAACAAAGAGCACTTGAAACACAGGCAAGACTTCAGCACAGGAAATACCCTGAACTGTTACTAAGATTGCAGATAACAGCAGGGACTTTTTAGATGTTTGGTAAGAAGAGTGAAGCTTTTCCTTTCTACGCATAATGTTCTGCCATGTATTTACACAGTAAATGGAGGTGAATCAATGCATTATTAAAACATCTTATTCATAAAATAACAATTTAGAAACATCTGCTTACACATCCTCATGCATGATGCACTCTTTGGCTACTTGTGGAGATAAAGCACATGTGAAATAGCATCAGTAGTGTTCCCATATTTTACTGACTTACATAAACAATATAATATAATTTGTTGCTGCGTAACACTGAAATTACTCTAATGTAACCCCAAATAAACATGTTCCTTTCTGAGTTTCTTTAAGATTATAGTTAATATATACTTCATGCAAATAAGGCTAATGAGATTCACTAGTTTAGCAACATCTTTTTTCTAATTTCAGAAGTAATTGCCATCAACCACTTAGTGTAGATTGGTCATTTGGTGTATATTTGATGAAAACAAAATGTCTATGCAAATGATTATGCAAGTGGTGGGTTTTGTTTGCATTCACTTTATAGGAGGTACCTGAAATGTTTAGGATTTGTTTGTACCGAACAAAGAAAATAGCTAGAGATTAAATAAGCCACAAGAAAAGACTTTCATAAAAATAATTCTACAAATCACACCACATTACTCCTGGCCAGTCTTAGCTGCTTTTGGTTCACTGCTGTTGGTGAAGTTAAAGGCTACTGTTTTGTCATGGAATGCATTCAGTGGAAAGGCAGAGAGTGAGTCTAATGTTTGAAATTTTTATTCAACACTAGCAGTACAAGGATAATCACCTATACACTCAAAGCAAGACTAAAAATATGTTGTAGGTAGTGTAACGTGCACAGAAAACCCAAATGTTTTTGGGGCAGGTAAAGAGTCACTAATAGAATATGATCCAAGCCCCATTAGTTTAAAGATTTTCTGACCTATACTGTTTTTTTTTTCTCCAAAGGTAGTTGTTCTTAGATATCTCTCAACAGTGCAGACAATCTCTGATCTTCTACTGAAAATTCTGTAGAATTATATGGACAATATTTTCTACTAAAGATGTGATAAGCTCAAGTGCCATAGAAAAGATGTAATTTTTTGAGTGCATTTTGTCATCATCTACTACATTTTTTTCCCTCTGTATTAACTTTTCCTAGATGTTTTATAATGGAGGATTGAGTCCTTTCCCTCATGTGTTTTTCTTAAGGAAAAAAAAATCCCCGAATATAATTAAAATATTAATACAAAGCAATAATAATAATAATATGGCTCTTATTGCTATTTGGGGATGCTCCAAATGCTTCTCATCCCTTCAAATGGAATTGTAAACTTCCTCCATTTTTTTCATATAAATCTGTAACCAAGTACATATGAGGGAATACCCTAACATCCTATACTATTATAAATGTGGAATGATACTCGCCTTCCCACACTTCTATTAATAACTAGTATTTAATTTGTAATTATAAGGCAAAACCACTTACAAGGCACATAAATGCACTTGAGTGGTTAATATTTTTCACAGGTGAAGTCCTCAGGTTTATAAGGAGTGCAAAAGAGTAAAATATTTTATAAGGATTCTGAAGATTAAGTATTTGATAAAATATACTAAACCCCCCACACTTTGAAAGCATAAAATATGATCTTCATTTGGAAGCCTTAATTCCTTGGACGTTTCTCTGGTTTTCCACATTTGAAAAATACTTCTATAATGTTTTCAAAATTCTTGTTCCATCCCTAAATTCATTGCTGAATTTCTGTTCCAGTGAAATTCTTACTAACATCAGTCTTCTGAGGCACTCAAGGAAGCCTTTGCCTGTTCAAAGTTGTCTTTCCTAGACTACCGGTAGCACAATGAAGCATGTGTCTTTGTGTGTCCTGAACGATGGAGTAAACTCACTTTCTTCACAAACAAAAGAAAGGTGTATCACAAATGGATAAAATATCCTGGATTAGAAAGGTCAGTGACCTCCTCTGAATTCCTAATACCTAAAACCTGCTTGCTATCCATTTTCTTGTATACTATAACATGTATAGTATAAACACAGTCTTGAAAGAGTATATCGAACTACCTGTGTCCAAGGAGTGTAGAGGAGAACTGGTTCAGCTGGTTTTACAATATTTTTTTGTTAGATGTTTTTGGACAGTGGCTATTAAGGATTTCTCTCTGTAAGGTATGCCTTTAAGTAAATAAAGGCTGAATTAAACATATGCCAAAGACCCAGACTTTTCTGAAGGTGTACTCTCGGAGTGATCCTAAGAAACAATTCCCTTTACAAACTGAAAGAAAAACCTAAGGTAAAAATTATCTATAATAATTACATAATCAGAAAGTATGCAAAACAACATAAGCAAGAAAAAAAGATTAGAACTCTCCTGGAATTCCGTTTATTTTGTAAACCCTGCTGAGTTTCATGCTGGATAGAAAGAGATGGGTAAAATAACCTATAGGAGTCAGATGACACAACATGGCTTAGCATTTAATGAAGGCAAAAATAAAACAAATAAACATGAAAATAAAATTGGAAGATCAATTTTCTGTGAGCAATAAATTGCAATTTTTTTTTGAAATATAAACTCAGAAAAGAAATAATAATAAGTAACAAGACCATACAGATTAATAAGAATAATGATAACCAAGATGATGATAGTATTTTGAAAATTGGTTTTTGGTACATTCTTCCCTTTATATTCTAGAATAAAAACCTATAATTTTTGCCAATAGACTAGAAAACAACAGTTTTCAGACATTTGACACTAAACTGCTTGATAGAAAGAACAAAGCTATTCTGAATGAGGATGAGAAGTTACATGACTGCATTTGATAATATTAGGGTCATTCAGTGAACATATGTATTTCCCACATATATTTGGGTGAAAAAAAAATTATTCTGCAGACAGAGAAGACAGTTTAAATCATCTTGTTATCACTGCTATTGTTATTTTCCAAAGGAACTTATGAAAAGGTATTAAATGATACAAAATGCTTTGAATAAATCTCTGTTGAATGTTGATCTATGCTGGATCTTTTTTGGTTGGGTTTTTTTTGTTTGTTTGTTTTTTTGTGTTTTTTTGTTTCTTTGTTTTTTTTTTGTTTGTTTGTTTGTTTGGGGTTTTTTTATGTTTTCAATACCACGCAATAAGACATTCCACATAGCAATGGAACTTATTAATAAGCATCATATTTCTAATCTTTGTGGTAATCAGGGTCTATGTCCCTTACTTCAGGAAAACTGGGAACATGCAATTAACTTTGTTAAAGTGGAAACTTATGATGAAATTAAGTAAATGAGTATGAGTTTTGTTATATCATAAGAGATTTCTGAATCTCTTCTGCTAAACTTCATGTACACTGTAAAGTATGTCCGTTTTGAAGTTATCAAAATCTGATTTCACCCACATGTCGTGACTCTATATCAGCTGAGGGGATGAGTATGTCACATTCCTACATTTCTTTGTGTCTTGGTTTGAGCATAGAGGGTAACTGAGCGCTATGCAGCTGCTCACTTCCTCCTTCCATCCCAGCGATGAAAGAGAAAATAAGTAAAGGCTTGGGAATTGAGATAGGAAAGGGAGGCATAAATCACCCACTATGGTCACAGGCCAAAGATAGACTTGTTAAGGGAAGAAAAAAAAAAAAAAAAAAAAAAAAAAAAAAAACAGAACATAAATTTATTACAGTCACTAACAACAACAACACAACAGACAGAGTAGGACAGTAAGAAGCATTGCCACATCTTGAAAACACCTTCCCCCCACCCCTCCTTTCTTCCCGGGCTCAGCTCTGCTCCCGATATCTCTACCTCCTCCCCTCAGCAGCACATGGGACAGGGAATTAGGGGTGCAGTCAGTGCTTCTGCTTCTTCCTTCTTTGGAGGGGAAGGAGCTTCTGGAACTTCTTCCTCTTGCTCCATTGTGGTCTCCCCCTCACAGGAGACACTCCTCCACAACTTTTCTCCAACTGGAATCCCTCCCACAGGCTGTAGCCCCTCCTGACCTTCTCCAGTGTGGGACAAACCCACATGCTGCAATCCTCCCAGCGCTGAACAACAACAGTGGGGGCTAATTCTTCCCACAGGGTTCCAGCCTCCTTTGGGCACAGCCACCTGAATTGTTTCATCTGAGGTCCCTCATAGGCCATAAATCAATGTCTGCTCCACCATAGATCTTCATGGGTGGCGGGGGGGCACCCTGCCGTCTCACCACAGGATACAGGGGGGTCTCTGCTCTGGCACACCTCCCCCCTCCTTTCTTCCTCTGTTCCTCCACTGACCTTGGTGTTCATGCAGCTGCCACAGCTCCTCCTCACAACTCCAACTCCTCCTCCCAGGTCCCTTTTTAAATACCTTATCACAGAAGCACAGATGATTGGTTTGGACTTGGTGCAGAAATGGATCTGACTTGGAGCTGGGGGAGCTTCAAAAAGCTTCTCACAGGGGGCCACCACTGCAGCTCCCTCCCCTGTTACCAAAAAACCCACCACTCACTCAAACTCAGGACAAGCTGTTACTAATTCCATTTCTGCACAAATAAAACAGTTTGGACAACCAGTGATGATCTATCAGTTTTCTGAT